TTATATCATTTAAATCACCCTATTTTAAAAAAATGGCATTTATTATCACCCAAACTGACTAGCTCGAGTTTGACATATGTCGTAAAAGAATAATACAAAAGTGTAAACACGTTTAGCATCGTCATTGCTTCTCTATATCTATGATTTGAAAGATTGCTATGCACTGCCCTACTTTGTGACGTCACGGTGTGAGTTTCGCAAATTAGGCTGATTTAAGTTATTTTATCATTGTTTCACTACGTTTCAGGGATCCATTATCGTGTGACATCTCTTTTAAGCTAAAAATTTTCAAGAACGCTTCTTACTCCCGCGGGCTCACTTATAAAAGCGCGCCACGGAAACACGATCAGCCAGAGCGCAGTGGTGTACCCAAAAATAGATATTAACACGTATAAAAACAATAAAATTATTAAAATTGAATTATTTTTATGTTATTATTTTAAAATAATGTGTTTTAATGAAATGTAACTGGGTGTTCACTGCACAAATGAACCAATGGAGAAACCGCCCTTGGGTATTCAAATAAATGAAGTGTGTAGAACAAAATGATTTTAATATTAAGCTATTGCATAGCTTTTATCGCGGGCTTTGAGCGCGGCGATCGAATCAAGAAATTCCGTAACGAAAATAAACCTAACATCCCCCACTCCGACCGACATGTATTGTAAGATAATAACAATATTAACTTTATTCAATAAAAAAAAATCGAAAAATCGAAAAATCGAAAAGTCGAAAAATCGAAAAATCGAAAAATCGAAAAATCGAAAAATCGAAAAATTGAAAAATCGAAAAATCGAAAAATCGAAAAATCGAAAAATCGAAAAATCGAAAAATCGAAAAATCGAAAAATCGAAAAATCGAAAAATCGAAAAATCGAAAAATCGAAAAATCGAAAAATCGAAAAATCGAAAAATCGAAAAATCGAAAAATCGAAAAATCAAAAAATCGAAAAATCGAAAAATCGAAAAATCGAAAAATCGAAAAATCGAAAAATCGAAAAATCGAAAAATCGAAAAATCGAAAAATCGAAAAATCGAAAAATCGAAAAATCGAAAAATCGAAAAATCGAAAAATCGAAAAATCGAAAAATCGAAAAATCGAAAAATCGAAAAATCGAAAAATCGAAAAATCGAAAAATCGAAAAATCGAAAAATCGAAAAATCGAAAAATCGAAAAATCGAAAAATCGAAAAATCGAAAAATCGAAAAATCGAAAAATCGAAAAATCGAAAAATCGAAAAATCGAAAAATCGAAAAATCGAAAAATCGAAAAATCGAAAAATCGAAAAATCGAAAAATCGAAAAATCGAAAAATCGAAAAATCGAAAAATCGAAAAATCGAAAAATCGAAAAATCGAAAAATCGAAAAATCGAAAAACCGAAAAATCGAAAAATCGAAAAATCGAAAAATCGAAAAATCGAAAAATCGAAAAATCGAAAAATCGAAAAATCGAAATATCGAAATATCGAAATATCGAAAAATCGAAAAATCGAAAAATCGAAAAATCGAAAAATTTAAAAATCGAAAAATCGAAAAAGAAATTCCGTAACAAAAATAAACCTAACACTCCCCACTCCGACCGGCACAGCGGTGCGGCGTTGAAAGCCGAGCATCGTCTAACGTCGTTTGAGTTCGGCAGACTTCGGCACGGTGTTTGTGTGCATGCGACTAGATGTATGCGTGTAGACTAGCTACTAACTGCTCATAACTGATTCTATCTCTTTTAGATAAATTTCGGAAAAATTGAATTTGAAAATGAATAATGATCCACAAGAATCCACAACAAAATATGGGACCACCATTGACGCGGTATTTTCCAGATATTTAGAGGATATCAAGTCCAAATTTATGTTTCTTATTTCAGTTACCATAAACCTATAGTTTCAATGAAAAAAATTCCTGAATAACCTAAATATATTTTAAACAATATTACTTCTCATTTAATCAATAAAAGAAAAAAATATGTTTTCTTATCGGTCACCACGCTCAAAAAATGTAACTTGAATTAATATCAAAGAAAAAAAATACTGCATAAATAAAATAAATAAACAATTATAATTGTATAAGTTGATAAAAAATGCTATGCAATAGCTTTACCGCGGCAGTCTCTGAGTGCCACACGTATTTTTTTTATTTAATACTAAATATTTTTGTTATATTTACAAAAATGCAATTTCCTCGCCCTCATGATCGGTGAGCATAGAAGTCATAAAGGTACGCCATCTATACTTTGAAAGCCAAATCAAAGCTTAATTAAAATAAAATACATTTAAAAAACACAACCTTTATCTGAACTAACTTATATGCTATTTAACATATGGTATTTAACGTTGTTAATCATTATTTTTTATCTCTAATAACGTCCGATATATTCGATTTTTTTCACACTAATGAATCACTCCAGGGGAAAGCTGTAACAAATTGTCAAAATAGCAACATCGACCTACTTAAATATTTCCAATCTCATAAATTAATCCATGACAGACAATATGTGTTTCGTTAACAAAGGTCAAATACCTTCCATCTATTTATTTATATTCAGCCAGCAGGCCATGGGACCCAATTGCAGGTGTATGTATAAGAGATTTAATTAGCAATAAAATTGGACAATTGAAAAAGTAATAAAGACAAATAATACTACTTATTTATAAACTTAAATAGGTACTTTATTTGTTAAAGTAAATATGAATTGAGTAAAAGTCGTAATAAAAAACAAAATGAACTAAAGTTACAAACTGGCAACTTTCATCTAAATTCTCTACGTCAAGAACATCTAAAATGAATTTTCCAAAGCGATAGTATATTATGAAATTTTAATAATAGCCTGACAAGTATTTGTTTTCACATTTGGGGTCCGGGGATGGTCTTAATAATTCGTAAGGGGATTTTTGAGATTTGTTTACGAATTTTTAAATTATTTAAAAACTAATTTCAGAAAATGTTTGGCATCAATAGAAAACCAATTAAAATCGTTCATTTTCAGTCACGTGTATCAGTATATCCAATTAGCTCTGACTTACGCTAATAAGTTCCCTAGGGGTTTTATCACTTAAGTCAAGTTTACAGAAAACAAACCATTATGAATGAACTATTACGACTATCTGTTATTCCGCTAAATGATAAAACTTAAATTGGTCGTTTCGTTTAATAACTATTTTAATAATTATTTTTTAAAATGGTTCATAGTAGAGACAGTATTTCATGACTTTTTACCCTTTTTCTCATTTTATTATCAATCAGTATTTAATATTAACGTTAATCTGGTGTACCCCCATATGTAAACCAGGTTAAATAATACATTTCTAAAAAGTCAAACTTTTAACACTTTCAAATTTATTTGTTAACTGTCTTAATTTAGTAAAATGATTAATTTCATTAAAAAAAAAACACCAATATATACCGTTAACAGTAAAAAAATGTATATGTGGAAACTATATAATTTTAAGAAATTAGAAAATATGTGTAAGATCCAAATGGAAATATTTAAGACCTAACTTTGATGATAAAGGATTGGGCAGTAAATAGGAGATACCGACATAAAAAAATGAACAGTCAATACTTTTTTGAATGTAAAGTCAAGATTTTATGAAGTGTAACTTAAATGTAATTTAAAGGAGTTATAATAATGAGTGGTTAATGGAAAGGCATTTCTAGGGGTAAAGACCAATAAATTTTGTTTCGAAATAGTGGGAGGCGCGTGGTCGCTAGGGGGTTTGTAGTGCGTCTTGGGAGTGGGAGTGTGAGAATGGGGGCATTGGAGATGTTTTCGAATACTTCTCTGCTTGGAGAGCGAAAGGGGAAGTATTGGCATTGTCGGAGTATACGTCTCTCGAATGTAGTGAATTTGTGGGCAAGATGTGTAGGTAGTATGCTGTAGGGTACCGTTTTGTACTCAGCAACGGGGCGGATAAAAGAGTTATAAGTTTCTCCCCACAAAACTGCCGTCACGGAATGTGAAATGTCAAAGACCTAAATGACATTTATCGCACAGACACTGTATACGCTAAATTAGTGATGATGTAATTTTGGTTCCACTAACAATTAAAGTGAGTGCGTTTTGTTTACCTAAATTATTTAGTTTAACTTTATTAAATAATATATATTCCTATATATATTCCAAATATATAACCGTTCAGTTACCAATTTCATATCTTCAAACTATTTTTTATGAGTGATAAACAATATTTAAAAAACACCTAAAATGATAAATGTCAGTCCAGTAGTACAACATTATTTTAAATAGTTGTAAGGTATGTCATCTTCTCTCCCTACTAACTCGATGGTCACAACTGTCACACTCTTTAGACTAACTGTGACTGACATTCGTGGTATTTCAAACAAATTGTCGATAATAATCGTGCTACTTATTTTATTACCCTTGAATAATTTGAATACAACAAAAGGTTTTAAAGAGAGCACTACTTCGGCAAGCAGGTATAATAGTAGTTTTTTCGGGCCCATTTCTATTATTATGTTGGCATTTTAGAGATAAAATTGCTTTAGTAGTGGAAATTGTAGTGAAAATGAAGGTAGCCGTGTCCAGTTTAATTTTACGATTCAAGAAATTGTACATTAATTAAATGTAAATAAAGCATAGTTATAAAAAAAGTTATAAAATAAAGATACCAGAGTTTTATTTACTTTCAGCAGACGTCAAAAAAAATGTATATATATTTTTTAATTTGTATTCATAAATAACTCTTTACCACGTTGTCCGATTTTTATTATTCGTTAAAAAGTGGGTACCTCAGGGGTGGTCCCATATAAATTTGGTCAAGATCTGATGATGGGATCCATAAGAAGATCCTCAAACTCTTCATTTTTTAAGTCGGTTTTTTAAAATTATTTTTACAATTTGTTATATATTACTTACGATTAGTCATACTTTTACTTAGGGTAGGGCGACTTGAAAAATTTTTAATTAAAAATAGTTTAACTTTTAAATTTTCCCTTTTTAGTTTATAAATGAACTATAGTATGTTAATAATATGATACTTACTTTATTTCCTATGAATCTGAAGACATTCATTTAATCTTACCTGAAATAAAATAATAATTATTATTACATAATTAAAAACTTTTTTTATTAAAATATATCCGCAGCGATTTAATAAATTATTAACTTGGATGGATAAAATACCGCAATTACGATATAGTACATTATATTGAAAAATCACTTTCACACAAGTGATGTACAATATTTCTCCTACGACCAAAAAATTATTTGAAAATGTAAACGCAGGAAATCTGGCTGTAAAGATTTTTTATATGCCTTATTCAATAATTTTTAAAGTGATTTATCTATTGTGTTTTGTCGAAATTAAAAACATGATTTCATTTACAAACACTTTCATAGGATAATAACGGTTAAATAATATTAAGTATAAAAAATATTAGAACACAATAATGTTTTTCATTAATTCATTTTTTAAATACAACAAATAATAAGATGAACAACCGTAAACAAGAACTTTTTTATTATTAACTACTTTAAATTTTTTTTCTGAACAATAATCAAAATACTATAAGAGTAATAGCGAAAAGATTAAAAAATGTAGATGTTACATTAAGATAAATAAAATGTACCTATTCAAAATAAATAAATAATATTGATCGTATTTTTTTAATTTTCTAAAAAAATAGCTTGCTTTCAACGCGGTGGATTAAACTCGCGTCGCGATGTGGTCGAAACATGCAAAGTTGATAAAGTTAAGCGCTCTGTGAACTGAAATAACAAGCTCGTCACATGAATCATCTTATTAAATTAAATATATTAACAAAAAAAAATCTAAAGATAATGTTACTTTAAAATTATTTTAATGATTTGTTAAAAATAAATATCTAGTATAGTCCATCCAAACAATAAGTCAACTATAAAGGAATACCGCAAACGCAAAAAAAGTTCGGCCCCTGTTTGAATAATTCGAAAAAAAATTGGTATAGGGAACGGGTTGCTTGTCGGAAGTCAGCTAATCTCTCTTTGATAGACCGCCCATAGACGGAGATATATGTTTTTACTTAATAATTTAATTATATGTACGTATTATAGGTATATGTTTCTTTCGATTTGAAGATTTAAAATAGTAATTTTTTATATACATATATACCTAATTAGAATAAAATAAGTAGGATTTATAACTGATATTTTCCTTCAACGATTTCAGTGTTTTTGATAAAATTTTACATTTTTTCTCCAAGAAGCGTGAATAGCTTTGTCGGTATACTGCCTCTGTAAGTATATTGTTTTTGGCAGTGTATCGCCTTTGACGGCTATTGCCTTTGTCGGCTATTGCCTTCGTCGGCATATTGTCTTTGTCGGCATATTGTCTTTGTCCATTTAAAGAGCCGAACCAATGCCGAAAAGGAAAATGAAACGCATTTGAATAAAATTAATTATTTTTACTTTCAGTGGAGTTTTGTTCATCTTAGTGACCTGTTGAGTTTTGTACGGATAACAGCTCCTGCATCGTACTTTTTAAAATTTTATAGAATATTAGTTTCTGTTTTATTAGTGTTTAGTTTCGTTTTATCAATAATCAGTTTGTGTTTTGGAGGTTATATAGTAATTTTAATAAACGAATAATAATTTTTGTGTATGTGTTATTAACTATGTGGAGACCGTGGGATAGTATTCCGAGCACCAGTACATCAAACAGTGATGGAGAAACTAATGCAGTGCCTACGCAAATAAAAAATAAACTCTTTTTAAATGAACAGTCCCAGCAAATTTGTTTAAATGTTTATAAAAATTTGTTAAAACGTGGATATATCGAAAACACTTCTACCGTGCAAGAAGCAGCGTTTCTTACTGGTATATCGGTTTATAAAATGAACCAAATTATAAAAAATGGAATTTCCAGCAGAAAAGTCCGTGAAGACAAAGGTGTGCAAAAAAAATTAGATCCATGCATGGCCAAATCTATTGTGAATACAGTGTATGAACTTTATAAACAAAATACCATTCCCACTCTTGATATTATACATAGACGCTTAAGTGAAACTTATTTCGATTCAAATATAAAAAAGTCTACATTGTATAATTGGCTAAAAAAAATCGGTTTTAAATACAAAACGATAGATAAAAAAAGCGCAGTGATGGAAACAAGACGAATAGTAAACTGGAGAAATTCTTATTTACAGAAAATTCGTGAATATAAAAATGAAAGCAGGCCAATTTATTTTCTGGATGAAACGTGGTATGATTCGCATGATACTGCAAAAAAGGGCTGGACAAATGATAATAAATATTGCTAAGCCTTAGGTATCCCTCCAAATAAATGCACTCGACTGATAATATTAAACTGTGGCTCAGAGGACGGTTGGGTTGACAATGCCTCACTATTAATTGGAAAAAAAATTGATAGCTGCCAGATTGATTACCATTCAAATATGAATTCCGATATTTTTGAAGAATGGTTTACGAATTCACTTTGCCTAATTTAAAGCCAAAAAGTGTAATAGTTATGGACAATGCTTCATATCACTCCAGGCTTAAGGAAAAAATACCTAATAAAAACTCTAAGAAAGATGAAATTCAAGAATTTTTAATGAATCACGATTTGTATTTTGATGAAAAATATAAAAAAGATGAACTTTTGGAAGTCCTAAAAACTAAAAATTTTGAAAAAAGTATATAGTTGATGAAATTGCAGCTGAAAGAGGTCATACAGTTTTAAGGTTACCACCATATTTTTGTATTTTCAATCCTATAGAGTTGCTCTGGAGCCAATTGAAACAAAATATTCGGAGAAAAAATATATTTCCCAAATTTGATTCTCAGGTCGTCAACTTGATCAAAGAACAAATGGATGCGATCCGAAAATCGCAGTGGGAAGCAGTTATAAAACATGTGTATGAAATAGAAGAGGAATACAGGAACAATAACGGCATACACGTAAATAATGGAGAACGATTTATCATAAATCTCAATGAGGATGACGACGACGATGATATAATTGGTGATAACGAGGAGAAGGAAGACGAGGAGCAGGAATTTGGAAACAATGAGAAAATCTGAGTTAAATCAGCAATATGTAAGTCACATTTTATTTTATAAGTCGGTCTATGTTTAGGTTATTTCTACATTTACTTTGTAATTTTAATTTTAAAATATTTTGTATAACTAAATTATTAAAATGTTGACGTTCGTATTCGTTTACTAATCGAGAAGTCACTTGGGAAGTAACCCAACCAGTAGAGATATGTTTGCAACATAACCAATTAAGTCAATTATTTCCTACCTATTTATATCTATAAGAAGGTAGGTATGTCATGCAGAATTGATATAAAATAAGAAACCTTTATTTTGAAAGAATTGGAAATGCATTAATTAAAATATTTATTCCAGAGACGGCATTTTATTTTTCTGAAAAAAATTATATACCGACAGTCGATAATTTCAATAGACACTTTGCATTTGGTATATATTTATATGAGTTTTTAATTTTGTATCATATACCTGGAACGCAGTACCTATATTTCTACTTGTAGGTATATTGTTCATAATCGAATCCTCAAATTGATTGATTATTAATCTATTTTTCGCTTTATAAAATTATTTATTACATCTATTTTATACAATAAATCGTAAAAAATGAAATATACGGTAATAATTAATGTTTAAAATACTACAACCAATTAAATTAAATAATAAACTGACTTAACGATGCGACGACACTGGCTTCTTCTTACTTTGCGGATACTTTTGACTACAATGCCGCACGACACGATATTCCAGTCTGTCTACACAGGTTATCAGTTCATTTCAGCGACGTAGAGAGAAATAATAAACTGGACTACTATATTCCAATTCGGAGTTGAGTTAATAATTTTTAGTATTAAAATAAGTGTATTACTATCGTCCAGGGGCATAATAATGACATACTCCTGGTAGAGACTCCTTTTTAGATGTATTCATACATAATATTTAGTGAATTTTTTTTTGAAGCATCTTCAAATGGAAGCCGAACTTTTTTTTCCATTATCGGTATTTCTTTGTAGTTGACTTATTGTTTGTATTAAAATCAATATTCACGATTTAATCATACCATCAATATGGACATTACGTAGATCAAAATAGAAATTACACGTTTGACATATTTGACAGACGTGCAGAAAGTAGATATTCCTGAAAAGTAGATTCTTATCCACACGCGTGTAATATAGGGTACTTTTCGTAAGACCAAATAGTGCGATATGTGTCATTTTCCTAAGTGGTCGTAGGAAATAAAACTTGTTTGGAGTATTATTAGTATCAGATAAATAAATAAAATATTATTGGTATTGGTCTGGGTTTATTAAAAACCACTATATAACCCTTCTTTTCTTACTTTATCTCGCTTCTGGTTCTTCAATGTGATTCATCCAATGTAAATTCCAGCTGCAAAGGACCAGGCAGCCAGTTTATAGACAAATGGGCTTCTGTCGAATTTCCTGAATTTTTGATATGTTGCTAAACAATAGCCGTCCATGGGCACAACTCAATCCTATGACTATTTTTTGATATACAGAGAGTTGAACTTGCAAATTGGTGATTTTTAAAAAGGACGTGCGTCTTAAGATACTATTATGATTACAGACATTTTTAATAATATCATACAATATTTCCAGCATAACAAATGACGTAAATTATTATTAGTGAGTCGTAAATTACTGAAAATGGAAATTTAATTTTTACTTTAGCATGGAAATATTTTCGCTAAAATAATCTAAATTAAGGACTATTAAATTCTATACAGGGTGAGTCAAAAAGTTGGTATGCTGTTTTTAATAAAATTTTACTTATTTAATGTCGTTTTGAATAATAGAAATCAAACCATTAGAAATATGTATAATTTATAAACCATATACGGTACGATTCAAAAGATATTTAACGAGAAAAATAACGAAAAAGTTTTTTTCATCTCACCCTATATTTTAAAACTTCGACTGTAAAATGGCGTAATTTTTTTACACTTACTTTATTTTGAGTATTCCAATAAAGTGTAAAAGTTATATGAACTTTCCTCGTCGCAGTCATCACTCACTCTCAGAGGTAGTT